ATGGCTATTGAATTACAAATGCATATGTGTGGCTGCTGGTACTTTTCAAAAAGCCTGTAACTATGAAGTAAGGTGCTCCGTGTTCAAAGATCTTTATAATTGATGGCTGCTCTACAAGTACAACTTTGATAAGGTTGATTTGTGGTTATTGAATTACAAATGCATGTGTGCGGGTGGTTCACACACCTGCTACTTGTGAGGAATTGCACATTTTGAGGGAATGGGAATATTCAGAGTATCACAGGAGTGCTCAAGTTTTGGCTTGCTCTCTTTTGCTCACTAATTAAAATCTCACTCAACCACCACTTGGATCCTTCACTAATTTCTTAATCTCACAAAGAGAGATGTGAGGAGTGTCTCACAAGGCTCTAAAATATCTCTAGGAAGTGCTGAAGTTAGCAGCCCCAAATGAGAGGGCTTAGGGGGTATAAATACCCCTCACTCAAAAACTAGCTATTAAATATCCGTTGGACCATGTTAGTGCATACTGGACCATTCAGTATGCATAGTCAACAGTGCCCATGGTGCATACTAAACCGTCAGGTATGCTCATACTAGATCGTCCGGTATGTGCCCAGTCAGCACACTCAAGTTAGTAAACTTGGCAACTTTTTCTCAATCCTTGCATGGGTATACTTGAGAAGTAGAGACTTGCCAATAACCATCATGTTGCACCCCTCTTGATAGTACAACATTCCTATCAACTCAAGTCCAAATGAAAAGCTTGAATTAAACCACTTGAGGTCCAATTCATTCCAAATGTCATTTCTTGCAATCCTCTACTTTTGAGGGTAGCAACCAATTTATCTCATCCATTTGAGCAAGGACATCTTGAGCATGTGACTTAGAACCATTCCAACAAATCTGAATTCATGTCATTGCTCCAAGTCACTTTATCATATAATCCAATAATAATTTGACCCTCCTCAACACTTGACTCCCCATAGCTCAATTTGTGCAAAACTTAATGAAAGTACTCTCTTCTTCACCATAGCCTTCGTCCTATGGCGCCCAAGCCGTTGCTTGCCCTTCACCCTTACTTGGTCCTTCAAAGCTCTTTCCTTGCTATCTCGACTCTCTCAAACCATCCCAAGTCACATGGCGATTTGAATCAACCATAAGCATGCCTTGAAATCCATGTAATGAAAACACATCTTCATCGTCATTGATTTCTCGAGAAAGCTCTCCAAGTGAGACAATTTCATATGCAAAAACTCATGTCTCATTTAACCTTCACAAATGTGCTTGCTTTCACATGATGCATTGTGATATCCCATAACATATGAGCCATTTCCTCAGTTCTATTTGCATTGTTGTCTTCTTCTTGAACTAGATTGTTTCCGCAATAATATATCATCTTTAGCTTTTCATTTCAACATAATGTGGAATGCCATTAAGTTTGCCTTCCTTGGTGAACCTTTGATACACTTCAAAATCATACAACAATTCATATCTCAAGTGTATGCAATACAAGCAAATCCATGTTCAACACTTAGCAAACTTGTTAGACCTTCAATTATGTTGTCATTCAATCCACCAAAACTCACTAAAGGGCTAGATGTACTTTCAATCTCTTCCTTTTTGGTGACTGATGACAACTCTGATTAAAGCTTAAAAATGATATATAAAAGTTAAGATTTTGATCCAATGATATAGGCAAGGCTCCCCCTCAATATGTGCTATGAGTGAACTTCATGAAAAATGGCCTCAAATGTCGGATGATGAGCCAAACTAGCGGTGATGTCAACTTCATCACCACCGGATCATACACCGGACTGATGGTGATGGAGAGGACATCATTGTTAGATTATATGCTAGGTTTTGAAAGAAAAAACTAGCGGTGAAGGCGGTTACAAATGACGGTGGTGAAGTTTCCGTACGAGGTTCTTTGAGTTTGAATTTTAAACTCTTAGAACTTTACATTTATATTTGGTCCCCTAGACAATTTCAAATGGAAAAGTAGTCAACTACAAGGTTTTAGATCTTGAGCTCTACAACTTTGATATAAATTGTGCTTTTATCCTACTTTATATGAAAAAGTTATGAGTTTTTTGTAGTGCCTTTTTTGAGAGATGGGTCATATTACCAACCGCAACTGAAAATTGATTTTAGTAGTGACTAGTGTTTCCAATAGCCTCTAGAAATGACTATTTCTATGATAATACCAAACATCTGCTAAGGCCATGAGAAGCTTGCAGAATTGATGCTATGATTCATGGCTTCCTAATACAAATTTGATGGGTTCAGCATTCACATACTATTTTAAATGTATGTAAGTCTAGTTTCCAATGCAACAAATAATGCATCTTTTGGACTTCCGAGCTAGGAGTAATGACAATTTTTGTGGAGGCTGTTGGTGACTGAGTGAGAATGGAAGAGACTCCTCAAATGCTCCACTAAGATGGCATTCCTTCTACTTTCACTTAATTATATTATATTCACATCCAACTAGGAGAGGGATATTCCTAGTATAACTAATTAAACCATATAATCCATCACTTCAGAGGGAGTTGAGATTTGATATTTGTAAGAATTGAGCATGACTCTTCTTTGAGAAACCCGTATAGTAACCCCAGTGCTAGTTGATCTCGTTGAGTGTTCTTCGAGTTATCCTAGTTCAGAAACCCGTAGAGTAACCTCTCGTGCTAGTTGATCTCGTTAAGTGATCTCCAAACGATTCTTGTTTTATCCAACCCACCCACGGTCACAATCATCCTTCCGTGTGTTGATCCTTATCAACATATCTAGAAGTCGATTTCTAGGACATCCCATCTTTGAAATCATCTTTAGAGACACCTCCAACCGGCGTCTAGAATAACAAGACGGCTATAAAAATCGTTTTTGTAGTGATGCACCAACCTGCTGTCGTCACCGGTTGGATCAAAAGCTCAGATAGCATCAAAGCCAGATCAACCGGAAGGGAGCCAAATCTAGCGAGGTGCACTGTCGAGAGGAAGTGGAGAGGGTATTGTGTGGGAGAAGATGGAGAGGAGCATCATGCTGCACCACTGTTCATGTGCTTGCGTCCGCACTGATGTCCGGCTGCACAGGCCCAAGTTTCCTGCCCGGGCTGTTGTGGCAGCGACACGATCGACATTTTCCCCGTGTCACAAAATATAATTGAATGCTCTGTTAGATAATAAACAATCCTGATCAAGTACAGATCGAAGTTGACAAGATGCAAGTCTCTGATCTGACGCTAATGTAATCCACCAAATCATAGAATACATGGTGGCCGATAAACTGAACATGCTCAATAATCGAGGTCGAGGGTAAGATGTTTAAGGCATCGATGAGAAAGTCAGACGCGCAGTTGTCTCTCTCAGGGTCTACGGTTTACACCAACTCTCCATTCACATTTGCATGTGGAAGTTGTATCTACTTATATAGTACCACACCAAGACAATTTACACAAGAAGTATCTAACCACCAATAGAAAACTTATATTGTATTTTCACTACAACCAAATGAATTTAGGCCGCCGGCACATGCTAGTGTGGCAATGACTTTCAGGGGAAAAAATTCACGATCGTACCTTAAGGCACGCTTTTTATTAAGCATAAGTAGAGTGTGACAATACAAAGCTTGGACGGTAATTGTCGATTACCAAGCCAGACACCCCCAACGCTCACGCGTTTCTGATTACAAAGGAACTATTTAGCGACCGTAATGAGAAACAAGCACGTCGGCAAACACCAAAGCAAGACATGATCTAAGTGGCTAAGGAGCGTCGTGCTCAAAGCCAGTAAGGTCCAGCGCCATGGCCATCGGATCCAAGCCGTCAGAGAAAAGCGCCTGAAGGGCCTCCTGTTTGGAGGCTGACAACGACACAACAAAGATGGCCTTGTATCTATCCACAACCCTAGGGTCTGGACTCTGCGTCATGTTTGCATCCCCCAACTTTTGCATCAGCACATTTTATGCATGGACAGTCGGGTTGGAGTCCTTGTTTTTGGCAGCCAGCCTCCCACTCTGACGCACCGACATCACCATTAAGGGTGTCCTGGATCTTCTTAGCTTCGGTTCGCTAATCAGCGGGGTCTCAAGCAGTACACATAACCGCGCCTCCAATTCTGCAGACAGGGACACACATCGGCCAATGAAGGTTGACCGTTGTCACCTTCATTGTCTGTCGATGAACTGCAGCTGGGCCTCCATAGCTGAAGCTCAGGCGATGCACATAGCTGCGCCGAAGGCAACGACTTCCCAGAAACGATCAGAAAACGGTTTTTAAGAGTGTTTTTAAACTAGCACTAAGCCATTGAGATTGCAAAAGATCCGCCTTTTTATTAATTTGTTATCAAACCATGTTTTGTTTCTTGCGCTCTAAGTTGCCAAGCCAATAGACGCAGGCCAACTGTATGGAAGGATACATTTGATGCCTGATTATTTCCATGATTCAGAGATTGATGTTCAGGTCGTTGGTTTTCAGTTGCTTGTGGGCGAACGAATCTCTTGATTGCTAACGCAGCACCCTCAGATGTCAATCTAATTAATCTGGAGTTAGCTAGATCTTCGTCTAGTTTGCAACTTTAATTTGCATCCCGATCCGAATTCTGGTAATGGTCAACCCTGGCCGCAGCACCTTTGTGGTCCGCTGTCCTCTGATAACTGCCAGAGAGGTTAGTTGGGAATCATTGGCACTTTGGCAGGCACCGCACCGGCGTACGGTACGAGCTGAACGCGCGTACTATCCCTAACCTGCATGTGCTACTACTCCAAGATGTGTTTTTTTTTGTAATGGCTGACTGGTTCGCGGACCGAGTACTCCATTCCACCATGATTAGCTCGGTACGGTGGCCATGTGATCGTGTACCTCTAAATACGGCACGTCCGATGTGGCGCGACGACTATTGTTGCCGCGAACTAGCTGCTCGGTACGGTGGCCATGTGATCGTGTACCTCTTTGCATGCTTGCCCGCCTATAAGTACACAGGTGATCTCGTCCCTTTCGACCATCAAAACACAAGCAGCCAAACGCACATACTCGAGCTGAGATAATGGCCGCCGCCGGGGCAGCTGCACTTGTTGCGCTCCTCGCCGCGCTTGTTGTCACGCATTCTGGCGCAAGCGCACTACCGGTGGTGAACAACCACACCTCCGCCGTCCGCCAACTCCGCGGCGGCGGCTGGCAGGCGGCCAAGGCCACCTGGTACGGCGCGCCCAACGGCGCCGGCCCCAACGACAACGGTACGTAGTAGTTTCAGTGCGTGCTTACTGCCTACTCCCTCCTTCCTACGAAGAGTGACGTTTTTTTTTCCTAGGAGACATCATGTTTGATCGTTTGTCTTATTTAAAAAATTTTATTTAAACTATAAAATAAATAAAGTATTATAAAAGTATTTCTAATAATAGAATAAGTCATAACAAAAATAGATGGTATATATATAAAAAATTTGAATAAAACGTATGGTCAAAAATAGATGTCTAAAAGTTAAAAACGACGTTATTTGTAGGGGTGTGTAGCTAGCAATACGACGTGCGCCATGCATCGTCGGTGTGCGCCGCGCCTACGTACCGTACGCGCTCGCCAATGCTGTCGTGCTGACATTTCGGTTTTGCCAATGCCGTGGCTCGGTGGCTGACATTGTGTCGTTGTGCTTGCACCGATCGGTGTTCTCCAGGTGGCGCGTGCGGGTTCAAGAACACCAACCAGTACCCGTTCATGTCCATGACGTCGTGCGGCAACCAGCCCCTGTTCCAGGACGGCCAGGGCTGCGGCGCATGCTACCAGGTATCCATTCAACTTGCTGTTTATATTACCCGTCCACTTGTCCGGTTCATTTAATTCAAATCGATCGGTCAAATGTACTAGCTAGCAGAGTGTACTCCATATCTTTTTTTCCCTCGAATCGAAGTTAATAACGACATTTTTAAAATTTGGTACGTATGAATTGAAAAATTGGTGAGGTCAAACGGAAGCATCTTTTCACGTTCTCTTACTTTTATATTAAACTAATAATACAGATCAGGTGCACCGCTAAGAATAACCCTGCCTGCTCCGGCGAGGTGAAGACGGTGATGATCACGGACATGAACTACTACCCGGTGGCCAGGTACCACTTCGACCTCAGCGGCACGGCGTTCGGGTCCATGGCGAGGCCCGGGCTGAACGACAAGCTCCGGCACGCGGGCATCATCGACATCCAGTTCAGGAGGGTGGCCTGCAACAACCGGGGGCTCACCGTCAACTTCCACGTGGAGGTGGGCTCCAACCCCAACTACCTGGCGGTGCTGGTGGAGTACGCCAACAAGGCCGGCACCGTGGTGCAGATGGACGCGATGGAGGCCAACTCGGGCTACTGGATGCCCATGCGCCGCTCCTGGGGATCCATCTGGCGGCTCGACTCCTACCGCCCGCTCAGGGGCCCCTTCTCCATGCGCATCCACAGCGAGAACGGCAGGACGCTGGTGGCGAACAATGTCATCCCGGCAAGCTGGAGGCCCAACACCGACTACCGCTCCTACGTCCAGTTCACTTAATAACCAATCAGTCCCTGGCATAATCATATCGCATATAAGGTGGTGCTACTACGCTTATTTATTTGGGGTAGAGTATTGTGTGATTATTGCAAATTCTTTTTGCAATGGGTTCGGCGAGTTTCAGTTCCATGTTGCCATTGTGTGTATCTTGAGAGTTGAGGCGCGTTGGAAACGGAGGAGGCAAAGTGTTATACATACATGTGCTCTCCCGCCCACCGTCCAAACTCCAAAGTGTGTACAACAAGTAGGTACGATGCATACAGTGTCAGTGTGTGACCAAATCACTGGGCTATGTATGCATCATCAAGTCATGATCAGGGGATTAATAACCAACGATCAAATATATTTCTGATTATTATTCTAGTAGATGTGTGGATTTTTTTTTAGACCTAAGGCGGCCCAGTTTATATTGAAAGCTTATATGAGTCTATGATGACTGGGTATACCGATTTGACAATAACGAAAGATCAAAGGCAGCTAAACTGCTGGAAACATCAACTTCAACCTCTAGTCCTCTACTCACTAGACATGTAACTCAACAAAAAAAAAAACAACCAGAGAGGCCAGGGCAAACAAAAATGGCTGAACTAAGATAAGATAAAAGGTTGTCGCGCGTTCAACCAATTAAAACTTCAGCTCCTCAACAAACTACACCATCCCGAGAGCATTTAGATTTCGTTCAGCTCATCGACAACCCGCATTAGGATCTCCTCCACCACTCTGGCTTCCTTATCCTTCAACACCACCTTCCATCGATTGATCATCTTCTTGCTCTGAAAATCGCCTCCCTTGGGTCCTTGAGCAGCTTATATCCCCGAAGGTCACATCGTTCCTCGTCTTCCAGAGCGCCCATATCATACGTACCTGCACAGCAAAATAGAGTAATTTTCCTGATAAGCATTTTCTTATTATGCAAAAATAGAAAAAAAAATCAGACCAGACAATGGAAACACAGTTAAAAAACAGTCACAAGAAACGTCTAGGCAAAAACTTCAATAGGGCAGGTGAAAAGAATATTGTTTGTAGTTTCCTCTTTTCCACATAGCTTGCAATGAATCCCTCCTTTCCATTCTTTCTTCTTAAGTTGGCATGCTGATTGAATCCTATCATGAGCCACCATCTAGAGAAAGATCTTGACGTTAAGAGGCGCTCTGCTTTTCCAAATTTCCGTCATATATACATTAGTGACCCCTCCAAAGCTCAATTCTCTATACAATGATTTCGTTGAATACCTTCCAGACTTCTCTAATGCCCATCTCACTGAGCCTCTGCCATGATGCAATTGAACTCCTGCCAATCTCCCTAAGGCGATGTTTGGTTCCCAGGAATTGAGATGAATTGGAAAGTAATCTAATAATGAAATGGGAAGCACTTTCTAGATATTGGTTTCAACTCATGGGATCCAAGCAGGACCTAGCTCCTCCAGTAAAACAACCACTACTGGAGGCGCATGCTTTGCCGAGGGCACCCCTCGGGGAATTTTTAGACGGCGAAGGGGTCTTTGCCGAGGGCCCTTTATCGGGCACTCGGCAAAGCCTTTGCCGAGGGTCAGGACGGCCCTCGGCAAATAAAAGAGTCCGTTAGGCGCCGGCGCCGTTGGCGGTTTCTTTGCCGAGGGCCCACCCGCAGCAAAGAAATGGTTTTTTTTTGAATTTGTTTGCCGAGGGCCGACCCTCGGCAAATAAATTTTTTTATTTTTTTTTAAAAACATTTGCCGAGGGCCTCCTCCCTGGCCCTCGGCAAAGAAATTTTCAGGATTTTTTAAAAATTCTTTGCCGAGGGCCGGCCCTCGGCAAAGTCGGCAAATAATTTTTTTATTTTTATTTTTTAAAACTTTTGCCGAGGGCCTCCTCCCTGGCCCTCGGCAAAGAAATTTTCAGGATTTTTTAAAAATTCTTTGCCGAGGGCCGGCCCTCGGCAAAGAAATTGTCAGGATTTTTTTCCAAAAAAATCTTTGCCGATGGCTATTGCTTGGGCCCTCGGCAAAGGACCCTTCTTTGCCGAGGGCCTTGGTCATTGCCCTCGGCAAAGAGGCAGAAATTTAATTTTTTTTTGTTTTTTGCATTCCATCGACACAAACATTTCATATATATACATATATATATCACACAGAACTCATTTTATCACAATATATCACAACCATAATTGTGAACCACAAATCACAATATATTACAACGACAAGTCACATGTTCATCATCATTCACATGTTTATTACGACAAGTTAATGAAATCCAAGCACAAGTCACAACCATAAATCACAAATCACGCTAAAGTTCAACCACATCACCTAGCACGAGTCCTCATCAAGCTAACCTATGAGACGATGGTGAAGGAAAAACAGGATCACCCGGTGACGCACTAGCGGGTTGATTGGAACCCGCGGACGGAAACTGCACAAAGGAGCAGAGATTGCATGTGTGAGTAATCCGGAAAAACAGTTTTGGAACTTAGAGATTGCATCTAGTATTGTAGGAATAAAAAAGATTAGACTCAATTGAAAATTTCGACAGCACCTCCCCTGCACGGGGAGGTTTCCAAAACCTGTAAGAAACGACGGCACGAACGCCGACATCCACAACGGCACGAACACCGACATCCACAACGGCATGAAGGCCGACATACATGCAAAGCACAAGCGAAAAGTGAACTTTCATACTTACAGGAGTAGCTGCAGGAGTAGGAGGTGGAGGAGGTGGAGGAGCTGAAAACTACACAGTTACACCCGATGCTTGCCCAAGACTTTGCATGATCACCATCATCTCCGCCATCTGCTTCTGCGCGGCCTCGAACGCGACCTTACGGGCCTGCTTGGTGTGCGGTCGACTCCGCTGCTCGCTCTTGACTTTGCCTTTTTGTTTCTTGCAGCTCGCCCGCAATATTTCACTCAATGTATCAGTAATGCAAATCTAATTTAGGTGTGTAAATATCTCACGCACGATGAGTAAAACAAGAATTACGGAGTGCTTGGACCTGCTGCAGTCTTTGGAGAAGGCCGTGGACGATAATGACTGGAGCTCGTGCTCGCGTGCTCGGATAAGCGTCAAGGAGGGAACAGTGGTGGAGTCGATGGCGCCGTCTCGCAATCCCTGACCGCCCGTGCTTCTTGCCTCCTCCGAGCCTCATGATCGCCTCTGCATCAATGGGCTCAGTGCGCACATTGTAATCTTCCCCATAGATCTGCCTTACCGTTGACGTGTACTCTTAGACTTTAGTGTACACGTTCGGGTCAGAGTACACCTGGGGCGGGGCAGCCGGGTTGAAGGAGACAAGGACGACGCCCTGCCCATGTGGGACATAGCCCATGCAGAGAACTCCGAGACCTCCTCGCCTGGGTGCGCAGCCTCCTGCGAGAAAGACGGAAGATGGTGAGAAATCAAGCGAGAATTGAGCGTCAAAATAAATGAAAGAAATCACTTACGTATGCTTGTTTGTATCCGGGAGGCTACGATCGCCTTGATGGTGAGTTGGACCTTGCCTCATCGACGCTGTTGTTCCCCGCCTCTCGTGCGTGTCAACAAAGTCCGTGATAACCACTTGTCCACGATCATGGCCCAAAGACTCGGGATACGATCGGCACCACTAGGGAATCACCTACAAGTCATCGAGTATTTGACATATAAGAAGATGAAATTGAACCTACTTAATATCAAAACGAATCATTATGAATGTTATTCGCCTACCTCAAGGTACTGGTCCCGGGTCAGCGTAATCCGTCTTGCTTGAGGCTTGGGGAGGGACTGCCTAAGTACCGACCTGTAGTAGTCTATGTGGGCCTGGACGCGCCCATGGTGATGCATCTCGGTGACGTACTTCCTACAAGCTGCGGCAGCCGCCCGATCCGCCTGGGCCTCAAGTCCTTCTTCGGCCTTGAAATGCGATGTATTAAGCAATGTTGTGCGAGAGAGACTTACCCAAAACTCCGCCAATACTCGCTCCTGCTTGTTGCGGTAAGTGTCATCCGTGACCAGCGCGTACCTGTCCCAGTTGGAGGCCGGCTCCCGCACCATCGGCTCTTCGGACAGTTGCACAATGCCGGGGTACCATTTCCTGCACAAAACACCAAGGATGCTCGCGGGGGTGCATGCTGGAGTACCCGACAAAACCAACCAGGCCCTGCACAAGTGATTAAGAAAATTTATCAGTTTCTCTTAAGATTTCCAACATATCTTATGAAGTAGTTGTGATAACATCCATAGTTACTTACCTCTTTGCCATAGGCCGAATCACTGAGCGGTTGTGAGGAAGCGGAACCGGAGGGAGGCTCACGGGACCTCGCTCATAGAGAGTCCGGGTAGCGGTACCCTCTCCCTCGCCCTCGAGCGCCTCGCCTCCCTCACCCTCGAGCGCCTCGCCTCCCTCACCCTCGAGCGCCTTGTCTCCCTCGTCCGTCTGCTGACCCCTCTCGTCCTCCGACGAGGACGAGGCCATGGCCGTCACGTGCTCCTCCTCCAGCACCTCATCATGTGTCGAGGGAGGAGACTGCTGCCTCCTGCGGTGGCTGCCCCTGGTCCTCCTCTCGTCACCTCCTACGGACGCTACCCCGGACGACGACCCCTCACCTCGAAGGAGAGGGCGGTCTCTCCCGTAAACCGAGGGCGTGTCACGGCGTGGACGTCTGCTTGCCATCTTTGTCCAATCACCTGCAATCACAAAGAATGAACAAGACTAATTAGTACATATATTAGAAATAGATTCAAAATATATAAACAAAACACAAATTAAAAAACCATAGTATTACATGTATTAGGAATAATCTTCATGATTGGGATCATAGGTCTCATCATCACTGTCAAAATTGTCCAAATGGGCAACACTATCCGAAGGTTCTATGCTGTCATCGTCGTCATTGCCTAGAAGTAATCGCTCAAGCATTGCTATGTCCTTGGCATTTACCACCACATCTCCATCGACCTCGTCATCAACCGTTTCGTTGTCTACTTCCATTTCGATTGCTTCGGGTAAGACTATCTCAAACGTGCCTGATAGCCCATCTTCTTGAT